GCTTTTTCTTTTTTCTTTTCTTTTCTTTTCTTTTCTTTTCTTTTCTTTTCTTTTCTTTTCTTTTCTTTTCTTTTTTGAGACGGTCTCACATAGACCATACTGGCCTTTAACTTGATGTGTGTTCAAGAATACTCTTCAGGGGCTGGAGAGATGGCTCAGTGGTTAAGAGCATTGCCTGCTCTTCCAAAGGTCCGGAGTTCAATTCCCAGCAACCACATGGTGGCTCACAACCATCTGAAAAGAGGTCTGGCGCCCTCTTCTGGCCTTCAGGCATACACAGAGAATATTGTATACATAATAAATAAATAAATATTAAAAAAAAAAGAATACTCTTCAGCTCCTGATCTTCCTGCCTCTACCTCCCAAGTGCTGAGATTATAGGTGTGCACTACTATGTCCAACAATGTGCTATGTGTGTGTTTTATTTTGTTCTGTACGTCTTTTTATTGCATTTATTTATTATTTATTTGTCTATGTCTGGGGGAACACACGTGTAAGTACATGTGTGTCACAGCAAGTGTGTGGAGCTCAGAAAACAACTTTCCGGAATCAATTCTTCCCTTCCACTCAACAGGCTTGGTGGCAAGCCCACTGACCTGCTCAATCATCTCAGTGGTCCCTGAGTGTTTCTTTCAGAAATATTTGTATTATTGTTGTTGTTTTGTGTGTGTGTGTGCCTGAGGAGACCAAAGTTGTTGAATTCCTTGGAGCTGGAGCTGTAGGTAGTTGTGGACTGCCTAATGTGGTTGCCGGTTCTCTGCAAGAACAACAGGAGCTCTTAACCACTGAGCCCTCTCTCCAGCCCCGGTTTATGTCTTTTTTAATTTAATTTGTTTTATTTATTTTTGTGTGTATGGTCTTTCGAGACAGGGTTTCTCTGTGTACCTTTGGAGCCTGTCCCAGAACTTGCTCTGTACACCAGGTTGGCCTGTACACAGGTCTGCCTGTGTCTCCCTCCCAAGTGCTACAATTAAAGGCATGCATCACCACCACTCAGCGAATGTCTTTTTATAAGCCTGCTGTAAATGCAATTTAATATACTACACAGTTTCCAGGCCCTAACGTTTACCACAGAGACTTTTCCTTTCTTACTCCTTTCCCTTGTTTGCATTGGAGAAGGATAAGGCCCTCCACACTGCTTTTTCTCCCTCTGTCCCCACTCAGGAACATTGCTCTGGAATTAATTTTAGAAGTACAGAGCGCATACCGCCATCCATCCTGGTGGCTCCTTCACTTCTCCCGCAGGTAGGACTGAGTGTATGCACTGGGGTTCTGGAACTGGCTGCCTGGGGTGTGGTGTGTGACAGTGGCACCTGACTCCTCTCAGTCTGTTCTCCTCAACTGACAACATTGCCTTCCTTGCTAGGTTATGATGCTGACACCAGGTAGCGTGCCCAGCGTATTAGTTCTCTGCACCCTCTGAGACTGGATGGAGCTGGGGAGACAGAATCACAGGGCATATTGCTCAGTGAAAGTGGATTTGTCTAGTATGGAAGAGGCCCTGGCTTTATACTCCCCAGGCAAAGGAGAAAAAATGAAGGGGGGCTTTAATTTTTAATTTTTACGTAGACTCTGATGGAGCTGAATATGATCTTGAACTTGTTACTCCTCTTTCTCCGTTTCTCAAGCGCTGGGTTATCCGTGTGCACCACCACCCACCGTTCTGTAGTTCTAGGTTTGTGCGTGCCAGGTGAGCACTCTACCCACGAGCTGTGTCTCCAGCACTGGTTTCTGTTGTTTTGTTTTATGACCTGGAGTCTTACTATTTACCCTCTATGTCCTGAATCTCACTATGTAGCCCGGGCTGCCTCTGAATTTACAATAATCCTCCCGCTTTTGCTGACTAAGTGCTAGGATCCTGTGCCAGCCAATTTAACTTTTAGAACTGGACATTATGGCAGAGGCCTGTAAACCCAGTTTTGGTAGGTGAGAGCAGGAGGATTAGGAGTTCCAGTGTCAGCACAGGCCTCACGGAACCCTCTCTGGTGTGTGTGGGAGTCGGAGAAGCGCACACGAAGGGCTGAGGATGTGGCTGAGTTGGCAGAGCGCTTATCTATTGGGCACAAAACCTTTGGTTGAAACATGGAGGATTATACCTATAGTCCCAACATTTAGGAGGTAGAAGCAGGAGGGTCAGGGGTTCAAAGTCAGCCTTTCTTACAAGTTCAAGAACAGCCTGAAATACATAAATATCCTGTCTCAGAAAGAAAGGAGGAAGTAACAGGACCACCTGCTTTCCTCAGGTCTCTGCTCCGACTCCCATTTCCAGGGGCTCCAGGGTCCATCCCCACTCTCTGCCTTGTTCCCAGCGCTGCCCACCACTCTCCCAGTCCACTCATGTACTCACAGTCCAGCACTGGGAGAGGGGCTGGCTCTGTGCCGAGTTTCAGATGGGAAGAGACTGGCAAGAAAAGGAACTGATTCAGGCTGGAAACAAAACAGCCGCAAATCCAGGGCACTGGGCAGAGTGCACAGACAATGGCATTTGCTAAACTGCCAGAAGCTCTTGGGGAGAGCCAAGTTTCCCATTTTATCAACTCCTTTCATGAGGATGAAGCCAGGGCTAGGATCCTGAGCAATACATCGCAGTGGAGAGGTCCAGACAGGACCCACGAGTTTGCCAGACTCCCACACTTCCTGAGCCCATATCTCTGATCAACACCTGGGATTCTGTCTGATTTCACCCAACACTCCTTCAGTCATCCCCAAGATCCCCAGCAGAACAACCCCCAAATGCCTACTCCTGATCTTCATACAACAAAGCACCTGCCCTTCGTGTGTGTCCCTTGTAGGCTTCAGCAAGAATTACTAGACATTTCATTTTCTAGTTCATCTCTAAAAGGTACCGTTTATTGTTAAGGGGCTTAGGAATGTGTTGGGGATCTCACGCAGGGTCTGACACACACTGAACTACATCCCCAGCCCAGGGCATCCTTGTACAGCTCGTAACCAAATCATCTTCCTTCCGTGATTGCTTGGTAGGAGGGCGCAGACTGGCCTAGTTGGTGGGGTACTTGGGCAGCAGCGCTGAGCCACACACAGGTTGGGGGCATCTGTGGTAATGCGGTTCTGGGTGGAATCTAGGTATGCACTCTTCTGAGCTTACACTCCAGGCCCCAGGCTTGGTGGTGGTTCTTTTTTGTTTGTTTGGTTGTTGTTGCTTTGTTTTGTTTTGTTTTGTTTTCTGACAGGGTTTCACTATATAGCTCTGGCTAGCCTGAGCTATGTAGACCAAATTGGCTTTGAATTCATAGAGGTCCATCTGCCTCTGTCTGCCAAGTGGTGGGATTAAAGGTATGTGCCACTATGCCTGGCCTATGGAATTAATTTTGTAAATTTTTAATGTATTTCTTTTATGTGCATTGGTATTTTGCCCGCATATATGTCTGTGTGAGGGTGTCAGGTCTTAATATTACAGACAGTCGTGAGCTGCCATGTGGATGGTGAACCTGGGTCCTCTGGAAGAGCAGTCAGTGCCCTAGCAGCTGAGCCATCTCTCCAGCCCCAAGTTTATTTTCAATTTATATGTATGGGTGTTTTGCCTACATGTATATTTGTACTCATGGAGGCCAGAAAAGGGCACGAATTCCCTGGAACTGGATTTATACAGATCGTCTGAACTGCCATGCAGATTCTGGGAATCAAACCCAGGTTGTCTAGAAGAGTAGCCAAGTGTTCTTAAATGCTGAGCTGTCTCTCCAGCCCTTGAAAATATTTTTTTTAAGGAACTGCTTTGTTTTCTTATATTTTACTTAATAAACCTAAGAGAACTCCCTTTCTCATAAGCCTGGAACAGGAGAGAAGGGAGCAAATAGTGCAGTCTGGGAGCAAAAACTGCAGGCTGGGGGAGTGGGGAAAGAGGTGGCTGCAGAGTCCGTGAGAGTCTTGAGAGTCTAATGGTCCTTGGATCATGTTGCTTACCTGGGTCAGTGTCATGGGAACGAGAGGGTCCTTAAAATCCCAATTTACATAGGGCCTCCAAGGTCATCCAGTCTAGCTATTGGACTGAAGGGAGAAAGAAAAAGTGTGTCAATACTCCAGGAACACAAAGAGAGCTGCTTCCTGTGGTTAGGCTGAGGCGGTGGACTATTCAGGTTTTGTTTCTTGCATTTTCTCATGGTTGTGATTTAGAGTGGTATTGGCCCTGCAGACGTCTGGTCCTGCAAAAGGGTTATTGAGGGCACAGACACC